ATATCTTCTATATATATACTTGTCCAACTTTGCAGGAAATTTTGTCTGGGAATATTTCCTTCATGATTCAGAAAAGACTCATTTTAGTCAAAAAGCTCAACTGAAAACAGCAGAACTTAACGCTTCAGTGCTTTGCACCCTTTTTGTTACTAACCTCATGAACTTCCAGTAAGTGATATGTTGTCCAGACATCTGCATTAGCTACTGATCTAACTGTACACAATAATGCACAGTAAATGAGTAAATATTTTGAGACTCGAGAAAATTCTGAAAAATAATATTCTGCATCTATTTACCTGCTGAAACAAGTTTTATTTCACTTTAGTTGCATTGTGTTGTGCTTCTACCCCTACATTCTAATGAATAAACCTGAGGAGGGAAAGACCTAACACTAAATTGCATCTCAGTGGAAATACAAAAGGAATTCTGTGTAGACAATAATACTTTTTGTGAGATACTAACTATATGTTAACTATACACATTAGTAACTATAGCAATAGACAGCAGCTTTGGAGGTATACTAGGCTGTTGAGAAAGAAAAGTATTATTCAGTTTGTCTTTTGTACCATAGTTCTAATTTTGTACTTTTAAAGGTCATAGTCACCAAAATTATTTGCTGAGTTGTTTCTCACAAAGACTATATTCGAGATACATATATACTTAAGACATCATGTGTGATTACTTTGTCAGTCCTTTCTCAATAAAAAGAAGGAGCACTAGTTACTTAATATTTAAATGATTATTCACTCCACTTTAATGCTGATTGAAAAGTATGATGATGAGATAAGTGGATGCGAAATATTAACACTTCACATATGCACATACCTGCTTTTCAGAGATCACTATAATATTCTTTTCTTGATGCACTTTATATAGATAAGATACTATGTCCTTTTGTACCAGTTTTAGCTGACCATTAAGATACCATTTATTCAACACTCATATTTTATTTCTGTTTATATAGTTATGAAATACTTCTGACCCTGCAGTTGAACACAAAAATGAAGACTCTATAGTATGTATATATGCAATAGGGCTTGCGTCAAAAATCTTCTACCTGAAAGCGTGACTTTGCTTATTTTGATATAGTCTGATCATTTATGAACTACAGTTTCTATTCTCTCTCCAAAATATTAATGATTAAAAATCCTGTTGGATTGTGTTAGTGCTCAACAGATCATGGCTTGTATAAGACTTAATACTGCTCTTGAAAATACTTCATAGAGTATAAAATATATATAAAGTTATATATTTCCTTAAATGGGCCCACTATGAAATAGCAATTAAAATACTGCATATAGCATAATTAAGCAGGAAGGTGTACCAGACCATTTGAAAATTCATTCCTTTATTTAAAGGAAACTTTGCTATGGTGACTGCTGGTTTGAGGGCTTTCTTTTAATAAAAGTCATAAATCTCAACATAAAAGCAGATCCATTCCTTAGAGTTATCCAGACTATCCTAAGCTTCCACCTTAGGTTTTGTTACTTGAAAAATTTTGTTTTCTCATTCTTTAATTACAGCATTAATTTATTTAAAAATATACTCTTCAGATAATGGGAAAATTTTATGTGTTTAATGTGTACAGCTAGTATTATCACCAATGTAGTTCAGGAGTAGTACGCATCTATACAGAGAAGCCACATGTGATCATATTAAATCTACATATTTTTAACTTGATTATTCTTTCGTGTTTGTCTGGTAAATTGGAAGAAGGGAAAAAATTTTCTCTGTTGCAGCCTAAAGCAAATTAGACATTATGGAACATAAAAAGCAAATGATAATCACCCTCTTGAAAATTAATGCATTTTACAGGATATGTAGCCATTAGAACAGTCACAACATTTTAAAGCTACTCCAATTCAACACGCCTGTGATCTATTCACTTTCTGATGGCAGCATTTTGTGAAGCTTGCACTGATAATTAAGTAAATTGTATGGTAGAAATCTTAAACTCCTCTTGCATGGCAGTGTGCCAGTTCTTTTATTTTTCCTGTGTCTTCAGCAAAACTGAAGTATTATTTTGTTATTGTTGTTGCTTCTCATATTGTACTAAGATAAATATTTAATTGAATATCTTTTTGATTTTTTAGCCCTTTATGGAATTTATTTAAGACATTGTAAGCATTTCTTTTTTATTTCTGAACATAGTAGTAACAGATGGATTTATGAATATTCCATTGACTGGATATTCATTGTATTGTGTTTGTCACAGCCAGTATGATCAAATGGTACAGCTGAGAGTGACTTACATAAGCTACACTGACCTACATAAACCAAGTGCTAACAAAAACATTGCATCATACTGCCATCTCAGAAGTAACCATTTGGTTTAATCAGTACATGGTAAAAGATGTAAATATCTTTCTGTGACATTTTCTTATTTCTTTCCAGATTCATTTACTGCTGCCAAAATCTTTCTTTTCCCCTCATTCATCTCCCTGTATCAAAGGGCATACTTTCACATCCTCTCTAGATATATCAGAATACCTCTTAACCCCTTTTAATTATTTTTCATCTCATGACATATTGGGAGCATGGAGAGGTTTCCAGTACTGTTCATTCTGTAAAAACAGAAGTCCTACTTTGAGGAAATAGTGCTCAGCTGTAGGCCCTGGAACCACCATATTCATTGCTTCTTCTTAGACTTATGATCACGTGTTTTGCAAAATATATCAATCTACCATCTCATGGTAGAACAGTCAATTTTCATCACAAGGGACCAGATAAGAAGAATAAAATTCAATTATATTTAGAAACTCTAAAGAGTGATTATTGTGATGCCTGAGTCAGATAAAATCAGAAAAGAGGAGCTGCAGGAAAGAGACAGTTGAGCTACCATGGGCTGCATACATTACTATCAGGAATTATACTAGCCCACAAAAAAGGTAAGCAAAAAATCATATACAGCTAGAAGAGTACATGATCTATGCACAGTAAAAGCCAAGGCAATTGAAACTGAAATAAAAATCCTTAGTCAAATCATATCATCTCAACAGATGGGGAGCAGGACACCACCAAGAAAAGGCCTCTGAAATCCTTCTGATGTTATGATTAACAAACATGTTTAAGACACTTTAAGATGCAGATTTGCATACAAAGAGATGTGACAGAATTGCTACTTGTGGCACAGAGGTATCAGACGCTGCGTATAGAATGTCCTTAGCTGATGAGAGATAAAGAGAAAATGCTTAAAGTCTGAATAAAAATGAAATTTAGTAACATGAAGGTAAAGTGTTTTCTGTATTTCCATATATCAATTCTCCCAAACTATGTTTGATAAATTAGATTCTTTTCTTATTCTTTTCCATTATATTTAGAGTGAAATATCAAATTTCTTTCAGTGACTTTTCTTAAAGGTAAAATCCACAACATGTCTTTGAGAAAAAGTTTAAAGATGGAAATGTAAACATCACTAACAACTTTGACTCAAACCTCAAACGATCATAAATTTTTTCCTCTTCTGGTATTAGTGAAACACTGAAGTGTAAGCTGAATGTTTCTGAACAGAAGTTCTCACTTGGTTTTGTTAGTAAGATGAAACTGAAGGTATAGAAATGTTTAAAAGAACTTGAAGATGTGTGCAGAGAGAGAAAGCAACTTAAGATATGTAACTTGTAGGCTGCACATTGCCAAAAGTTTCACCTTTTTTAGTCTGCTAGTCATACTGAATAAACGACCACAAATATTTCATTATTATTTCTCTTGCACATAAAGACCGAGAAAATACTATCATTGTAATTCTGCAATTACAAGAGTGCAAACAAATGTAGTGTATTTTGACATATTTTTGGCTACAAAGAGGAGCTTTGGCTTTAGATACCATAGTGGGTCAGAAGAAAAATTCATAGTTTCACTGGTTCCTGGTTCAGAAAAAACAACTGAGGGGGAGAGGAGAGAAAGAAGTTTACTTCTGCCACTACAAGAGTTATATATTCGTGCAGAATTTTGCCATGACTTTTGCCAGAGGAAGTGTATGTTAAAAATCACAGCTGCCTTTCTAGCTACCCTATCAACACAATTATCCTCTATATCTTTTGTAAATTTAGGCAGTGTATGTGTACCTCTCATATAGAAACCTGGAACAAGAATTTCTCAGATGCTAAAGGTACACAGTATGATGTACTCAGATATGAATTATCCATTTTTACTGTGGTTTAAGCAAGAATGATCAAGACATTTTAAGATATGATATAAAAATAATTAGTGTATCTTTTAACATAACGGAGGAATTGTTTTTTATTGTTAATCATTACCAGAATAACCTAGCAAACGAATATTTTTCACAAAGATATTTGCCAAGATATATACCCTGGAAGTGGTGGTTCTTTACCTGAATAGCCATATAAGATAAATAACACCTTGCGCACTCTTTAAAAAAAGGTTTGCATTTTTTTTTTACCCCGACGCATACTTCCTCCCCCAAAAAATCTGTATATAAATACAGTGATTTTAAATACATACATACATATGCATACCTAAGCATGCATATAACAGAATCACAGAATGACCTCGAGATATTCTAGTCCAACCTTGTACTCAAGCCATTTTGAATATCTCCAAAGAAGGAGAAGCCACAACCTCTCTGGGCAGCATGTTCCAGGTCTCTTATCACCCCCACAGGAAGGAAGTCCTTCCTCACAGGCAGATGGAACTTCCTGTGCTCTAATTAGTATCCATTATCCCTTGACCTATCACTGCCCAGGATGAGAAGAGTTTGGTCTTGTCCTTTTTACACTCTCTTCTCAGGTATTTACACATACCTAACAGATCCCCTCTCAATTAGTCTTTCTTCATACAATAGATGCTCGAGTCCCTTAATCATCTTCGTTGCTGATCTTTGCATATTCATAGCATTATTTTCCCACGCTTTCTTTTTAATGTGATCCACAACTAAACAACTGTAGGCCAGGACCCAGAGTCTGCTCTGTGAGGGCCTGTGAGAGCAAGGACCTTCTGCAGTTGCCTGGGCAGCAGCCAACTGGAAGGGAAGTTCCCACTTGCTCGCTCCACGCTGTGAAGCCCTCTTGGTGCTCCTCTCCAATGTCGTGGTGCATCTTAATTAAAATTGCCTGACTGCTTTTCTTGCCTTCTCACCCCCACCATGAATGATGCCCCCAAGGCAGGCTGAGGGAGAGGGCCAGTCTCCCCTTTCAATCACTCTTGAGGCAAGGGTGACAGACGTTTCAGAAGCGAGGGACCTGCAGAAAATAAGCAGAGGCATGGAGGAGCCTCCGCGGGTACCCACTACACCCAACAAGCCTGGTGGCAGTTCCTGCATGCAGGATGCAAATCACCCTCTCTCTTTTTCCTCCCTCTCTCTCTCTCCTAGAAGCACCATGCCCGCTGCACCGAGGCCAGGAGTGGGCAATGGCCTGGCACGTGCCAATCCTTGGTACAAGCAAGTGGATGAGACCGGGCGAAGAACTTAACCTGGAGGCGTTTAAATGTACAGGGGAATTTCCAGGGAATGTCTCGCTGAGGAAGCCCCCAGCTGGAGCTGTAATACGAAGAACATCATTCTGTAAAAAAGCACCTTGTACCTTTTGGACAATGTGGAAAGCTAGAGCTGCAGACTTTCCCTAACAGTTAACACCATTGTTCTCCACTGAGTTTCTGTGGCCGATCACTCTCCGAGTGCTTTCCCTTGCTTCAGCAGTGCTCTTTGCAAGGGTGAATTTGTGAACGTGAGTCAGCTTCTACCCGGGAAGCTGGGACGTGGCCGCAGGGCTCTTCTCTAGCTCTTCCCCAGCGGCAGCACTGCTGTGAACTTGCTCTGCACCCAGCAGCAACGTGAGCCCTTTCGTGTGTGCCCAGCTACCAGGGACTGGTT